ACCCTGGGGGTATGGCTTATGCACGTGGTTGTGTAAGTGATTTATCATAGTATAAATTACTTGCTGATGCCTGTAATACAGATATATTTTCAGATATATTTCCTTTGAGAAATAAGATGTGAGGTTCCGGCTGTTGTGTCGGGACTGAATGTCATACTTTATTTACTTATTCATTCATTTATTATTCACTTATTTATTTATTCAGTTTTATAAATTATATCTTACTGGGCATTTCGCTCACGTTTTCTATGTTTCAAATGTATAAAACCCCTCCCAGGCGACTCTAAGAGCGGTGCGGAGTAGCTGGATTATTTGTTACTGTTCGATCAAGTGAGAATTGTGTTCATCATCTTGAATATATGTAAGGATTTGTAAACTCTGACATTTGAATTTCTAGACTGTGGATGATGTAATGTAATACTTATTTACAAGTCATGTATGTACGGTAATGAGATCCTGTGGATATGTCTTGTAATTTATTTTAATTGAGTGTGTGACTCGTTGGGAATTTCATTTATTGTCATGTGCTTAACCCCTAATCGAGTTCCACGTCACCGACCCCTGTTCCGGGACGTGATACTTTTCAAGTCTTTTTCCTTTTTCTTTTTTCCCCAAAATCTAATATTTTTTCGTTCTTATCCTTCTCTTTAACTTTTTTTATTTTATTTACCTCAATTATTTTTTTTCAAATGTTATCCTACTTAGATATTTTTTTCGGTAGCACTCTAAAATTTGTTATATTTAACTTTATTCTCACAAATTTCTTTTTAATTGTCTCACTAAAATAAATTTTTAAAAATATGCCTATACTTATTTTTTCACGCTCTTCTCGACCACTACTATCCTACATATATAAAATAGCCATCATGACTCAATTATTCCTTTTTTAGTTGTCTAAATAGTTTTGGTTATTTGCTTCTTTCAACCTTTTTTGCCTATCTTTTTTTTATTATTATTTTTTTCCTTTGCAAACACTTGAAATAAAAAAGTAAAAAGATATGCGTTAATAAATAACGTAGAATATAGACCTTCATATGTTACATTTTTCTCACTTTTTATCGTAATCAAATTATTAAATTCTATCTTATCTAAATAGTAAATACTAAATATATAAAAGAGTGGAAGAAAACTATACCGTTTATTTTTTGTAGTCATTTATGCACCATTTTATGTTTTTTCTCCTCTTTCTCTTTTCTTTGCATCTTTTATCTTTTCTTTTAACTCTTTTATATTTTTTCTTTTGTTTTCCATAACCTTTTTTGGTGTTTTATTCTTTTTGACGCTTTTATTTCTTTCTTTTGTTTTCCATACATGTTAAATCCTAATCCTAATTTTAAGTATATAAAAGAGTAGATATTTAGTTGTCGTCCATTCTATGGTAGTTCAATTTTATCCATTTTAATATCGATTTGCACTAATATTGATGCTACTCGTAAAAAATACTATAAATAATTAAAAATTAACCATTTTTTTGTTAAATTTACTAATTGATGAATCACTGATTTACCAAGTGATCTATCGCCCCTTAATTAGTGATTTACAATGTGATAATCATTGCTAGAGATGTTTCAAAAAAAATAAAAGAAGAAGAAGAAACGTGTAACAATCGATTAATCTAATCAAACTGAACCAAACGTTTAATATTTTTTGAATTATTGATCACTTTTTGGTCAATATTAGTTGTCGTGTCCGTATTTACGGTTAAATATAAAATTCACTGATCCTGGCATAACGTCGATGTCAGCGACGATGTTGAAGTGTCAGGGACGTACACGTGTAAGTCTTTGACTTGTCGGTGGCGGTTCCAATGTGGTCAAAGTACTTAACGAGCTTTCGGAGTTGATGACGATGGCAAGACCTTCGACAGAGAGGTGTGGTCGATTAAGCCTGAAGAGAACCGAAGGAATCGGATCCTAGGGCCATCTTCGTTGTCAAATGTCTGAGATGCACCTGCAAAACAAGTTTGAGAACTTCCAAAATATATAAATATGGAACTTCGTGGATGAAAAATAGTAGGAGGAGTTGATCAAATAGTTTATTGAGGAGTGACTCAGAGTTGGATAAGGCTTTTGATGAAGAAGTGCTACAAAGACAGTTTTCGGGCTGCTTTAGAGGCTTTAAGTATGAAGCTTCGTTGGTAGATAAGGTGTTGATGGATGGTGAAAGTATGGCTAGTGAGGCGGATAAGGCTCTAGTGAATAGGTACTCCAGGGGAGGGACACCATTTAGAGCACTTACTTTCACGGTGAGTAAGTATGACTACGAGATTGAAGTCTTGAATATTTCAAGAAAGTGTAAAGAAACTTGAAAAAGACTCTCAAAGGATGGCTGAAGAAGATCAAAGAGAGTTCTTAGAGAGTTTCTAAGGTTGTCAACACTTAGAAACTGGGCTGACAACCTTAGAAACTGGGCAGCCCCTAAGAGCTTGAAGAAGCTTCAAGTCTTTATAGCAAAAGACTTGAAGAAGTTAGTTAAAAGGATGAGAGAGAAAATGAGCACTCAAAGTGAGAAAATTTTATAATGAGAAGGAGATAACTTCTGAATTGAAGTGGCGTGTCAGAATGAGGGAAATACAGGGATATTTATAGGAAAAGATGAAACTGCTTAACAGCTTACTCCGTCGTCCGTACGACGTGCTCTGACAGAAGTCTATACACGCCATCTCGTAAAGCAAGGTTGTCAAAGACCTTTCAAAGGTTGAAAAGGAGATTTGGTGAAAATGGAATAGAGACTTCTGGGAACTTACTTCGGAGGAAAATTGATGGCGCTTTGATAGTTTCATGGGCACGTAATTCCCTTTGGAATAAAGAGATCAGATAACTTTTTGGAATTGACAAAGAAACTCACTAGAAATGGAAGAGAAGGTTTTGGAGATTTCATTATAGAGGAAACTAATAGTGCATTGTCAGAGCGTTTCCATTTAGAGGGAGTGTGTCGGCTAGCTTTCTGGATTTGACAAAGAGACCCACCGAAAATGGGATGAAAGGCTTCTAGGGATTTGCTCCGACAGCATTTTGATGGAGCATTGCACAAGCAACTCTGTTTGGAGTAAAATTTCAGCTACCTTGTTGGAGGAGGTAAAATGACACCTTAGAAATAGAAATACTTGGGGTAAAGTTCTGGATATTAGGCTGACATGAAATGACTTCAGACGTGAAATCTCCAAGAGTGGTTAACCCAACTTAGTGCTCTGAAGACTTTCCTCTTTGGGGGTCTGATCACGTGTCAGACCTTCATCGGAGATTGTTTGTACTAGAATGACCAAGCAACCATTGTATTTGTTCTGACACAAAGTTGCTCCGACACCATGTTGCTTCGAATGAGTGCAAGTGCTCCGAATGTACATCATGATATGAAGGAGAGCTGGGGGAAACATGCTTGACACGGGAAGTGCTCCATTAGGCATGTCTGGTCGTAACCAAGCCTCTGAATGAGCCAAAAAACTATAGATTTCTCAGGCCTTTGAGCTAGAAAAATTTCTAAGACATGGGACTTGGGTTTTGGACCTTTTAAGGGCTGAGATGAATACTTTTTTGGGTTTCCAAAAGGCAAAGGAGAAGGCTTTTGGAGTTGAATTCTCCATCACTCATTTATATTTAATTCGATTAATTCTGAAAACTCTCCAAGCAGGATTCAAATTCAATCGAATTAAATGACAAATGGACTACTTAATCACATATGGCCCACCAAACCACAACCCATGAGAGTTCACCAAGCGTGGCTTGGGTTTACGAAACTAGCCCAATTATGTAACGAGATGCAAAGACTTAGGCCTGGACCCTAAATGGGCCTGGTACAAAAGTGGGTATCAACATATAACATAAGCCTAATTATTATTTGAGAAAATTACATAATTTATCCTTAAGAGTGCATGAATCTGGACTTTTACCTCTTACTCTTGATAAATACCATTTTGTTAATGTAATTATTTAACTAAAAAGATTATTAATCAAGAGTAAATGATAAAAATCCTAACTCATGCGCTTTCAAAGAGTATTTATCAAGATTACATTTATTATTTTATAATATAATAAATACTTGCTTATTTGTTATTATAATTAATAACATTTTTTGATTTTTAACACTTTATTTATTTTATTTAAATTTTGATAATTTAATTCTTTTTAAATAATTGTGTAACTAATATTTATTATTTTATCATATTAATATTAAAATGGTTATTTTGAATCTTTGACGATGGCTAACATTAATATCACAAATATACAATTTATTTTTTAAAACAAAAAATGTAATTTTTTCTTAAATGGTATATTAATATTTTTACAATAATTTATTCTGATTCTGCTGGTAAGTAAACATATAAATAAAATTTAGATGGACTTCAATTTTAAATTCTGTAATCGACTAAATAACTATTTTGACTCTAAACTCACTATGAATCTTACCTTATTCGAATCTTATCTATTTAGATTTATGCCCATTTTACTTCCATAAAAGTAAATATTAGAGTACTAATCTTAACATGAATGTGTGATGTAAGAAGGCCCTATAGGGCGTTTTCTACGTGGTCAGCAAAAGATTTTTATTCTTTTTAAAAAATTTATTTTATTGTAATAAATAAAAAAGCTAGTTAAGGGACCAAATGAGCACGTGGTCATATCAATTATTATTACATTTTAATTACGATTCATATCATAATCATTTGATACCATATCTAAGTCTATTCCAGTACAAACGTTAAATAAAATTTAATTTATTTAAAAGTTTTTTTTTTTTTTTTTTGACTGTTCTGCAAACGCAGAAGACAATCTTAGACATGATTTCATTGTAACAAGAGGAACAAAAGCAGGGCAAGAGTAGTATTTCCACAAAATAAAGGGTGTTTCAAGTAATTTCATAGAGAAAGAAAGAAAGAAAGAAAAAAGCGCGTTGGCTCCGACCCACGTGCATGTTGCGTGAAGAAAAAGAAGAAAAAAGAAAAAGTATTCCCTTTAAATATTTATCCACGTCTTACACATTTTTGAGGCGTGGAAAGGCGGTGTAATCAGAAACCAAAATCTCCATGGCCCAATTTCCACTCTAAACTACCTCAAAAACCAAGAAAAAAACACAATTGCACAACACGCAAAAACAAGACCAAGAACAAATTTCACACACATGCGAGAAACCTCTCTCTCTCATTCTTCTGCTTTTCTCTTCCTCTCTCTCTCTCTCTCTTCACATGACGAGCTTTCTCTCACCTCCTTCTTAAACCAGCAGCTATTACATTTCAGGCCTCTAATCCGAGAACGTGTTTTGTTTTTGGTTGTTGTTTTCTTTGTTTGTAATTTGATTGATGTTTACCAATTATGCGATTTATGATTATGCCCATTTCGGAACTGGAACTGGGTAGTCTGATAAATGATTTTGCAATCCTCCGCTTCTGCGAGCTTGGACTTCTCGCTTCGCTTCTGCCCCTGTGGACGGAATCCCCACGAACAGCAACAAATAAGAACAACATCCCATAATACTTTCAAACCCAGAAAGCACCTTCTCATTACCGGTTTCTCGCACAGGAACTTCAGGAGAAAATGGGGTTTCCATTTCCAAACCCGCGCCGTTTCCTCCGACCGCCCCAACCCCAGCAATTTGAGCCTGAAAATCGCGAAATCCGCCCGAAAAGGCGCGAAAGCTTTGGTGGTCAAGCAATTCTCCGATGAATTGGACGGTGAGGATTTGTCCCGAGAGTCGACGATTCAAATGGGGTCGAACTTCGCCAACTTCCAGCAAGACCCCATTGTGGATAAGCTCAGGACTCAGCTCGGCGTCATCCACCCGATTCCGTCGCCGCCGCTGAACCGGAACGTCGCCGGATTGTTCGTCTTCTTCTTCTTCGTCGGCGTTGTGTTCGACAAGCTTTGGATGTCGAGGAAGAGGAGCAAAACGGAGGGGGGTCGGATTGGGCAGGCTTGGCCTCAGGTGCCGACGAGCTTTTCGCTGTTTCTGGAGAAGGATTTGCAGAGGAAAGAATCGGTTGAGTGGGTGAACATGGTGTTGGGGAAGTTATGGAAGGTTTATAGACGTGGGATTGAGAATTGGATAATTGGGTTGCTTCAACCGGTGATTGATAATCTGAAGAAGCCTGATTATGTTCAGAGAGTTGAGATTAAGCAGTTCTCTTTAGGGGATGAGCCTTTGTCTGTTAGGAATGTGGAGAGAAGGACATCTCGCCGTGTCAATGATTTACAGTGAGTTTTTCTATTTCATTCCCATGGCAATCTTAAGCCCCGTTCCTTTCGTTAATTCAAATTACAATCAAGTTTTTGCTACATGTTTTCTCCCATAAAAATTTAAATTTCTTTTTCTGCTATAGTATTTCACATGAATTTATTTTTTAATTGAAGTTCTTAACTCAAACGAGCGAAATAAACAAGACTTTTCACTCTCAATTGTTGGTTACTTTACTTAGAATAACTAGACATCCTTAACTTTATAAGGTTAACTTTATAAGGTGTAAGGTGTGGCATATGTGTTGTTATCCTCGTTATTAGTATTCTTTTTATTGTGGTAGGCATTTAAAAAAATTTTACTCCTGTTAGTATTAAAAAGTTGTCACATCAGTTGTTATTCTTTTACTGTCACGTCAGTTAATACTAAAAAGTTGCATATAGTAGTAAAAAGATGACGACTTACTGCTTCTTGAGTTTGAGTTGGGATCGGAAGATTGGGATATAAGTTGGAATCCTTAGCACTAGTCTTATGTAACTGGTTGAAGTCTTTAATTTTTGTTGCTTGCTTGTTGGATGGGTCTGTATAGCTGTTCTGATATATCATATTTAGTCTGGGGCAATTTGAGTTCCTGTAACAAACTAATAGGTATATTCATAATGGTGTTAATTGATTGGTTAATTCAAAGGTAATATATGTTGTAACATACTATGCTAATCAGTTTGCAATTAATTGGCACACACTTTAATTTTATGTGTGTCAAGGAGATTTCTTGATTCATGCTACAAAAAGCCTAAAAAAGACGCAATCTTAAAGACTAGTCACATCATGTTTGGCCTTAGCCGTTTCTTTCTGTTGCTTAGTTGCTAAGGCATATGGCTTTCTTGAAGTAGTTGGGCGTATTTCAGTGATAAGGGTTGTATAATTAAAGCTCATTGTTCTATCTTTGGTATTGGTAGTGTTATTTACTTCTCTACTGGTTCTTTCTTGTTATTTCCTACTTATAAGCTCTCACTTTCCTACGACCATAAGTATACTTATGGTCTTAGGAAAGTGACAACTTTTGTTATTCCTTGTCCAACAAGGTATTATATTGAAGTCTAATATATTTTTATCCGGTTAAGGAATTTGAACCTCAATTCAAAGAAAGTAGGGGTTCCTTTTATAATTGAGAGTCCACTTATTGTATTCAATTTAAGGTTTTAACCAACTTGGGTTGCTCCTAATGCACCGCGCGCTCCTAGACCAAGACACGTCGAGGATCAAATTGTTCATCTAAAGTTCTGCCGACTCTATTTCTTCCTTTAGAACTGTGGTTTTTGCCAGTCCGGGAGATTTGATGGAGATTGTTAAGTCCTAATAGGCATTTAAGGTCTTGATGTAAAACCTAAGTTATAGTTATAATTGTAAGGAACCTAATAACGACCTCAGATTCCATAAATTATGATGTTAAATAGGACCATTTGACCTTGTAATTAAATTTCCTTATTTAGTTTTTGATATTTTTCTAATTTGTTACCGAATTTAGTTTCAGTATTTTTAGGTTGAATTTCTTTCCCTTGCTTTGGGTTTAGGTCAAAAGACGTTAAGTGTTATTTCTCTGTCATACAATATTTCTCAGGTGGGATGCAGTTTGCATATTTATGATTATGGAGTAGTTAAGTATACCACAAACACCTTTGGTGTTGTCTTATCCTAAATGTTATTGACATTTAACAGTGGCCAACATGTTTGGTCTTTTCATAATCTTACTTTGTATTTGCATCTTCTCCATTCAGAGTGTTAGATGGATTCTGGACTAGCAAAATCTCTTGAGAACAATAGAGATCCATTTAATATGTTAGTAGGAGATGTTACTTATATTCAACTTTGTATGTTTTGATCTTTTTCTTATTAATTCTCTGCTTGTAAGTTTTATGCTAATGTTGCATTCAACTGACCCTATTTCTCGTGACTCTAGGTATCAAATAGGTCTTCGTTACACTGGTGGTGCACGTATGCTGCTAATGCTCTCACTAAAATTTGGGATTATACCAATTGTTGTGCCAGTTGGTGTTCGAGACTTTGATATTGATGGGGAACTTTGGGTCAAGTTACGATTGATACCAACAGAGCCTTTTGTAGGAGCTGTTTCGTGGGCTTTTGTTGCACTTCCAAAAATCAAATTTGAGTTGTCACCATTCCGTTTGTTCAATTTAATGGGTAAGTTGTAGATTAGTCCCTTCTTTAGTCTTTTCTCGTTTGCATTATGCATGAATTAGTCCCTGGTACAGAATATGTCTGATCTCTTTCTTTATGTACTTTGCTTCTGCTGGTATTCTCAGAATTTTATTTGACCTTTTTGTTTAATCAAAGGTAGGAATTGTTTCAATTGAGGGTAGGACTAATTATTTTGGAGATGTACAATGTCAAAAGGAAATTGGACTAGCGTGGAAAGGAGAATTAGGAGAGATGGGCACATTCGCAATTGTTGGTCGATCCAGCTCCTAACATAAAAGATGTCATTAGTGTGTTATTTGTAATTTGTAAATGTTGCTTCAGTGGTATCCACAATTTGATATGAGTTGGCTTCTATGGCCTTTTAGACCAAGATTTTTCACCCATGACCAGTTGTTCTTTTGTAGAATTGTATTCCATATTCGATGTTTACGATTACACAAATTTCAGACATTACGATCTACAGATTAAACGTAGTGTTGTCTACTATTATCACCCTCGGCACTACATTAACACTGACAATTGCGGTCTAGTAGTATCTTTGGTATATTCTTGGTTGTGCAAGAAGAATATCCTATCTATAACTCAAAGTGAAAAGCCTTCTCATGAAAATCATAAAGGAGCGGGAAGCTTGTCTTCACTACCGTAATTTGGGCAAAAATAGAGCTAGCTATGTTACATATTTTACTTGTAATATCTAACCATCTTCTTGTTTATGTTCAAGTAGTTTTGTTTTTTTTTTTTAGGATGCAAAACTGATCCTGAAGTTTGTATATACTTTCAATGAAGCTATCATTTTATCAGGGAAAACAAAAGTAATAGCTTTAAACTGCCTTTTATGATAAGCATGCTGGTTTTCTCTAAGAAATAATCTTACAAAATGGAATATACTAACAATATGTTGTGATAAGTATTGTTTTCCCCCATTAGGTTGATCATCTGAAACGGAAGATACTGACATGTTTTTATTTTTTCCTTCTTCTTTTATGCATGCAATGGGCAATTTTCAGCGATTCCTGTTCTTTCAATGTAAGTGAACTTCTTTTATTATTATTTTTTGGGTTTCCTTGAGAGTTGTGAGTAGGACTGTAGGAAATATTGTTTGAAATGCAATCTAGCATGTAGATCTGTAACTCCTTTTTCAATATCCTCCATCCTTACGCATTTCTTAAATGCCTATTTTTATAGGTTTTTGACAAAACTTCTCACTGAGGATTTGCCTCGCCTATTCGTACGCCCTAAGAAGATTGTTTTAGATTTTCAAAAAGTTAAAGCTGTTGGCCCAGATGCAACTGATCTAAAATCAGGAGAGCAAGAAGGAAACAAGGACTTTGTTGGAGAGCTATCGGTGACCCTTGTTGATGCCCGGAAGCTTTCTTATTTTCTCTATGGTAAGAATTACATATCCTTGTCTAACAATGTTTTGCGAGAGAAAACCAGTGTACTTTACGAATTGGTGAAATTTTAAGTTGCTTCAAGTCATTGAGAATTTTCTGACTCCTGACTCCTTATGGTGCACGTGAACTATTAAATCTAAAGCTGCTATCTTGTTGGTTAAAGCTTTATCATCATATTATCTGTTGGTGTTTATATATATGTTCAACCATATATCTGATTGCTTTCCTTCCCCCCTTTTTTTTTTTTGGGTTGTAAATTTGTTTTCCAGGAAAGACAGATCCGTATGTTGTTCTAAGCCTAGGAGATCAAGTTATACGTAGTAAAAAGAACAGCCAAACAACTATCATTGGCCCCCCTGGTGAGCCAATTTGGAACCAGGTGAAGCTCCATAGCATTACTGCTTCATCTATGTTGTTCTTGAGAAAACCAATCCATACATGTGGACTATTCTTGTCGCTGCTCTTTTTTTTGTGTTTAGGGTTTACAGATTTCTGTAAGTAATCATATGTACGTACTCGTGGGCAGGATTTTCATATGCTAGTTGCAAATCCTAGAAAGCAAAAGTTATACATCCAAGTGAAGGATTCTCTTGGATTTGCAGATTTAACCATTGGCACAGGAGAGGTAAAGCGTCTTAATTCTTGATGATCTTTTTGATGAAGTGAATTATGAGCACGTTTAGTTCGCTGATTCGAGTTGAGATGTGACTTTATATGAGAGCTTTTTACTGTAATAAAAAAGTTAGATGTAACTGTTTCTTAGAGCTTTTTACTGTAGCAAAACTCGAATTGGTAAAATGAACGGGGCCTATAGCTATAATTGTCCCGCTTTGTCTTTTTAATTTTTTTTTCTCAGACATGTTTTTTTTTTTTTTTTTTTTTAAACCATAATATCCCTTTTAAAACTGTCGTGTAACAATTTTGTGCTGCATTGTGTTTGAAAATACACAGTTAATCAACAGAGGTGTCAAACCTGTATATTGCATACTGTCAGGGTTCATAGATCTCTAAAAGTAAACGGACAGTTTTAATATAGCCTTCAGCTGTAGAAGTGCTTTCTTTATCCATGAACTTAACCATATTCATGGAAAACTAGTGCTCAAATAGGAATTTGAGTTCAACCGTACTTTACAGTTATTGTTTCACAAATTTACTATATCAATAAGCTGTAAATACTCTGAAATTTAGGTTGATCTTGGATCGCTTCAAGACACTGTACCAACAGACAGGATTGTGGTCTTACGAGGCGGCTGGGGACTGTTTAGAAAGGGTTCTTCTGGAGAAATACTACTTCGATTGACATATAAAGCATATGTTGAGGATGAAGAGGATGAAAGAACTGGTTTGGAATCTATTGATACAGATGCTTCAGATTCAGACGACGAGTTTGCTGAGTCTTATGAACCAAATGTTTCTTTTGTAAAAGATCAAACAAAGTATGCTAAAGAAACTGATAAAGAATCATTTATGGACGTTCTAGCTGCTTTAATTGTGAGCGAAGAATTTTTAGGAATAGTGGCATCTGAGACGGGAAGTAGCAAAATTTTGAATGACATTCCAAGTACGGGGACAACGTTACCAAGATCGCGTGCTGTTGATGTCAAATCAGTGTCCCTTGATCCCACTAATAGTTCAGAAGTTTCACCAGGTAATTTTCATTCACTGTGACTGCTTTAAGTGTGATGTGTCACGTTTGTTTTGCTTTACATTGTGCATGGTTAGGGTTGCAAATGTAATTATGTAGCCTAGCTGTAAATCCACGCCTGACCCCACCTTGAGGTGTATAGTTCAAACCCCCTCACCCCCAAGTTCTTAAAAAAAAAGAAGAAGAAGAAGAAGAAGAAGAGAGAGAGAGAAGCCCAAGTCCGAGTCTACCAGCTTTAACATATCTGAAAAGAAACCTTGATGCATGGTAAAAAACTTGTCAATTGCAGGAGCGGCTTTATTTTGGCTTGCTGTTGTTACGAGCGTATCAGTACTAATTGCACTCAACATTGGCGGTCCAAGCATCTTCAATCCTTGAAATTTCACACTTGAGCTTGAGAAGAACTGGTTTTTGGTGCTTCTGTTCGATCAAGTAATTCTTCAAATCCCGCTCTGGTGCTGCATTGATTCTTTCTTGAGTTGCTCATTTCTGTTGCCTGCGATTAATAGCTGTATAAGTACCATAGTTCATTCTTTGTTTGTCTTAGTTGATTCCATAAAGAATTATGCAATATTCATTGAGAAAAGAAATCAATAAAGAAAAATTGGACAAACAATTTCAATTTTTTTTTTTTTTCTGGTTCTATGTTTGCTGGCTAGTATTTCCCCTGAAAATTCAGCATTATTACTCAAAGGATTGCCTTCTTCCATGGCAGGCTTGAAAACAATCCATTAAGTATATATCTCAGAAGGTGGACTCCCCAAGAGAAATGGTTTTACACTGAGCTAATGAGCCATACAATGGGCATTCTTGTAAATTTGTAGTGTTCTAGCAGAGGAATGTTCTGTTGGCGGCAGAAAATTTTTGCTTCCCATGTGAGTTATATGTATTCTCAGTTTTTGTTCACAAAAATCTCTTTTTTTTTGGGTTTGGGGAGAGGGGGCTTACAGTTCCTATAAATGAATTCATTTTAGGAGCTCCTTGCTTCCAGCATACTAATAATTTAGGGTGGGTTTACAAATCATGAATTGAATTGAAAGAATAGAAAAGCAAATATCAATAAAAGGGAATTACAAAGATTTTATTGAAGTGTTTACTAATCTTATGAGAAATTAGTCACGAGCGGAATTAAGTTCCTTTTATACTATTATTTTGCTAAATAATCAGAACAACCTTATGTGAAGTAAATAATTAAATTAAAGAGACTATTTTTTTTCATAGGCAAAAAATAATAGTATAGTTGGTAAATAGGTAAGTTAGTTCATGAAATTGAAGTAAAACTTGCACAATGGTTCTAAACGACCTTAAAATGAGTTTTGTTCTGAAATGGATTTTTTGCATAGGAACCCTGAGCTTTGTATGTTTGGCAGATTGGTCTTTGAACTAAATAATTTTGCAATTGACTTATTGAATTTTGTTAATTCATTGCAAGTTGGTCAAATTGATGATGGGTTAGGCTTACGGACAGAATGCTTTCGTGCTAGTCACATGACTCTTTTCAGGGGCATTTGGTAGTCACTTTCTTAAGAAAACAAAAAAACCCTGAAGAACGAGATAACAAGAGAGTGAGAAAAAGAGTAACCATCCGAGGGAATCACCATTGATGTACCGTCATTGCCCCTCGCATTGCCCGTCCCAGCTCCCTTCGTGACTCAAATCCATCGTAATATGTTATCCTCTCATGACCAATTCCTATCTCAAACCAAAAAATCTATATCCATGCCACCCTTCGCTACATCGCCACGTCTCATTAGCCCACCACGTGAAACTAGAGCTGGCACCCCTTGAAAAACCAGAGTCGTTGCCCCCCTCGTGAAACCGTATTTGCTGAAAAGGAAAGGCCATTGCCCCTTTGCGACCCTTTGTTGCCCTTGCAATGCGATGATGGAGATCATAGTGGTGGAGGCCTCTATGACACCGGATCTATTTGGGGGCGGGAGGATGCTGCAACCATCAATGCCATGATTAGAAGCTCTAAGCGAACAAACAATTCAAAACTTGTTCAAGCTCTGATGCTTTTTTTCAAATGAAATTTTCAATGATCTCTCTGTGTTTGTTTGTTTGTTTGTTTTTTTCTCCCTTAAAAACCCTTAAAAGAATGTTGATCAGCATTGTTGATGGCTGAATTCCGTCAACAGAAATACACCGGGTTACCCACTGGTATCCCGTTGGGTTACCGGCGGGAAATTAACGGTATATTTGAAATTATGCTATAAAGTGTTTGTTGTGTTTTGTAAGCATGAGTGTAGTGCTTGAATGAGAGGACACACGAGATTTATAGTGGTTCACTCTGTTAATGAAGAGCTACATCCATTTGTGTATGATATATTTCTTTTGGACTTTTTACAATGCACGTATATTCTCTCCATCATTCAATACTCGAGAAGTCCCCTTCCTTCGTGTATGGGGCTTTGCCCTTTTAATAGCTCAAGCTTCCTTCGTGGGTGGTTTTCCCTTGTAGGTAGAAGTACTCGAGTGGCCTATCTTTCTAGGCTCAGACCGTAGCCCACTAATCACCTTTTGGACTGTTCACTCGGCCAATTGGTCTTCTATTACGGCTCTGTGGATTCCTGTAATCCTTCACTGCCCACTGTAGGGCGGTTCAGGGGTTTGCAATTAATGCCCGTATTGCAGACGTCTCCCACCCCTAGACGCAACTTGTGATGTCAGGCTCATTTCTGAAGAGTATTCCCCTCGCCGTCTGTGCTGCGTAGACCTCGTGTCCTTTCTGACAGTCGACCCTTTCCAGAGGAAGTTTGTTGCATGAGTTCGACGGCACAACTAGTCGACGCCCTAATTTGGGCCTTTCTTTGCGGCGTCGAGGGGAAGCGAGCTTCAAGCGTTGAGGGTTGTCACCTTTTGAAGGAAAGTAGGGCCACATGTCACGCTGTCGCCGTTCCACATGTCACCCACATTTTCCCACACAACAGCTGCCCCCCAGGTCGAGGGTTTCCTCTAGACAGCCTCGAGCTAGGTTCGGGTGTCTTTCTGTGCCTCGGGTGTGGGAACCTAATTTCGAGCCTTCTTTCGTAATGATAGTCTTGATGCTTCGACTTTTCTCGAGGAACGTAACCGTTGCGTCGGTCAGTTCACCAGGCTGACGTAAGGCTTTATTTTTGAAAAGGCGAATATAAGCCCTTTGATCGTGCCCTCTCACCTTCCCGCCTTCGTTTGTCACTATTAGATCTAGGCAAGATGCCCCTGCCGTTGGATTTTACAAACTTAATCTGACGGCTAGGGGTAGATGGCTTGTTTTCCTTTAAATATTCCTCGAACTGAAGTCATTTTTTACCAAACTTCTTGAACTACCGTTACTCTGCCTGAGTTCTTTCTCGTAGACTCCTACTCGCATCCCTTGCTTTCCTCAGTGCCTTGTGAAGCTATCTCAGAACCCGATTTTGCCCAGATTTTGTCTTACAGGTAAGCTTTAATGATTGCCCATTCGTATTTGTTTTAATGACTTTCACTGTCTTTCCTATTGAACCATAGGTATGTTAATATGTGAAATGTAGGGGATAAAGACCTTACCATACGCTTTGCCTGACCCATGTAGGATAGTTTTTCTGATTTCTGGCTGATTGTGGTCTCTAACTCTTGGGTTCAAATGAACCTTGGTTGTTTATGAACATTCACCGTCACCATTTTTATATGAATGGTCGACGTTATGTTTTGAGAGGCACTAGTGGTAATTTGAGCAGTCGTCATTTGCTTTTTCCTCTCGACTTAGGATTTTGACTTAGCTCTTTGTCTTTTTCACTACCAGAACAATGGCCTCAAACCCCACTCGTCAAGAGGACCCGTCCATTGTACGACCAGATTCCCCTTCCATGGTGGAGATTTCGTGGTCATCTTCTTCATCAGACGGCAACTCAATATTGAGTGAAATAGAAGAATACATGGGCGGACCAAGCGAGGGTTTCGGCGACGAGTTTTACAGCGTCTACCGTATGATGGAGGAAGAAGTAAATAAGATTCCTTTCACAGGAGGCAGCATAAGCGGGGTCGCCGCTTCAATGGTGGATGCCCCCTTGGCTGCTACGAGCGGAGACCCAGACATGCCATTTTTTACGGCTGATGTCGTGGCGTCGAGGGTCCGAAATAAAGATATTATTCGGGCTGTTAAGGAAGGTTGGATCGATAGAAGGTGGTTTGAGTACCTCTTCCCGGATGTACATTTTAGGACCAGCATGCCTCCTACTGGGTATCTCCCCGTGTATACTCGGCCTGTTACGGTGGGGATGACCTTACCAGTCCATCTATTCGTTAAAGACTACTGCTATTTTTATGGCATCTCTCCTACCCAATTGGCGCCGAATTTTTGGTACTGTTTTGCCGGCGCCTGGGTTTTTTAGAGCTAGCGGTTTGATATGGATCTACCCTAGATGAATTTATGTTTATGTACAGATTATGCCACGTCGCCAAATGCGAGGGGTGGTATTTTTTGAGTGGACATGGGCGATCCCAGCCTAGGCTTGGAACGCTGATACGATGTATCCCTTCGTCGTCACATGGGTGGAAACCCATGTTTTTTATGATTTGGGGGCCTTTTAATTTTCACCCCGACGACCGTATGCCCCGCCGAAGGAAGGTGCAAACTTCGTTTGGGAATATGGGTGAGAATTTGGCACTTCGTTTCTATCCATTTCCTTCTCTTCTCCCTCTTTTTTTTTAAACGCTGACAGTTCTTTTATCCTGCAGTCAGCAACGATCGGCCAAAACTTGCTGAAAATAGATTAGCGAGGGTTGAAAAGGCCTTTTTGTACCCGGAGAAGGCTCGCCATATCGACACCCTCTTAACCGAGTCCAACCTCAAAGAGGCAGGGTTGATTCTTGACCTTCCAGACCCTTCTGATATTCGTGCCGTCCATGAATATGTTCATTTAAGCGACGAAGGTAAACTCTTGGACTCGGCTCGACGCTTCCCTTAATCTTATTTGGCATAACTGTTCGTTGACTACATGCTGACTGGTCATTTGCACATAAATGACTTCTTTGAGGATCCAGCTCCTAGGCAACCAGCAGCCTCAGCCTGTCCCGCAGCCTCAATCCAAAGGGAACGAGAAAGCCATCACCTCTTCTCAGGGAAAGAGAAAGCCATCACCTCTTCTCCGGCACCGAAGAGAAAGAAGACCGCGGAGGTTTCTTCGGGGTCAGGGGTGGAAGTTCCTGCGCCTAAAAGAGGGCACAAAGAGAAGGTGCCGGTGACCGGGACTTGGACACTGGCAGTTTTGATCCCTGATGTTACTAGTATGCCTCCGGCGCCTAGGGAACGCGTGGTTATGCCGGGGGCAAAAATTATGGATTCCAACTTCCAAGTCCCGGATATTTCTGACGCCGAGATTGGGGCCATGCTAAAGCTTCCTCCCCGTTTCTCCCTCGTCTTCCAGGCCTTGTACGAATCATTCCTTGAGCCGCACTGGATCTTCACCACTCAGTCTTCTCTGGTGGATCGTCAGCGCAAGCAGATTTCCTTTCAGATTCATGTAAGTTTCGACCGTGCTTTTTTCATTTTTAGATTCGTCATTCGTATCTTTATTTTGATTCCCAATTTCTCAGGGCCTAGTCCTTGTCATTCTTAATCTTATTGATCTAGTCAAGGTTGAGGAACGTGGCAAGGAGATGGACAACTTGGAAGCTAAGCTTACCTCTCTTCTCGATGCTGCCAAGGAAAAGTGCTCGTCTGCCGTCGAGGAGAGGGACGTAGATGTGGCCAAGCTGGCGAGTTGGAAGGAGAACTGGCCAAGCTGCCGAGTCTTGAAAATGAGTTGGCCAGTTTGAAGGCCGCGGTTGAAGAGCTTACAAAACAGGTGGAAGCCTCTGAGAAGAAATCGGCTGAAGCTACTGAGGCTGTGAAGAAGTGCTTTGCCGAGGGAAGAGCTGAAGGGAAGAAGGAAGCTGAAGCCGAGGCCTCAGCAATGCTCGACGCTAAGCGTGCAGAGATTATTGAGGAGTTCAAGGCTTCTTTGGAGCTCATCGACA